CGAGCAAGGGGAATGGAAGGAGAAGTTCTTGGCGATGTTGAAAGAGAGCGAGCAATACTCGCCAGCGAAGATGTTAGATCGGCTCGATCGAGAGGGTACATTGCACGCTACTCCTGTGAAACAAGCCATCACTGACATATCCCAGATGCCAACTTCTACGAAGCCCGAGCTATTTTGTTTAGCAAGATGGGTCAGCACCGACAGGCGCTCGAGATCTACGTCTTCAAACTTGCGGACCACGAGAAAGCGGAAGAGTGAGTGATATATCTTTTCACCAAGAGCAGCAATTGCTAACACAAGAAAGATACTGCAACCAGGTCCACCTCGCCGAAAAGGCCGAAGAAGAGAATTCCATCTATCTCACCCTCCTTTCCCTCTATCTCACCCCACCCCACGGCTATGAGCCCCAGAACGACCCCGCGATTGAACTGCTAGCCAAGCACGGCTCACGCCTCCCAGCCGACGCCGCATTGAAACTCATCCCGGACAAACAGGCCGTGGAGAAACTTGAGTTCTATTTCAAGGGCCGCATGCGCGCCGCAAACTCGATTTTCAATGAAGCGCGCATCGTGGCAAATCTGCGCAAGGCACGGGATATGCAGATCCAAGCCCAGCTCGCTCTCGGTGAGGGAATTCGTGGTGGAGGTACGCGGGCTCGCCACGTCACTGTCACCGAGGAGCGAATTTGTGGCGTCTGCCATAAGCGTTTGGGTGGGAGTGTGATCAACGTTTTCCCCGAGTAAGTCGATTTCAGTCATTTGCTTTTGGTCTGTTCGTCGCTGACTTGTTTTCCAGTGATACGGTGGTTCACTTGGGGTGTGCCAATCGAAGACCCAGTGTTCGAGTTGGGTAGTATGTTTGCTCTCTGCATCTGCATTCGCGAGGTCGGTCTTGTGCTCGTTCTTGTTCATGGTCGTCATGTCATGTCCTTCATTTTATTTTTATTTTTGTTCTCCAGATCAAGCTTCTCTGTTCATTTGGTTTGTTTGGTCGACGGAGACTATCCCAGCGACTTTGATACCCATAGCATCTGCCCATTTCAAGATACATCCGGTCATGCGAATCATGCATCGTCCTCAACAACCTCCTCTCCGTAATTTTCCTCCTCCTTAGCTTCCTGTGCTGAGAGCTGGCCCTGTGCTTTGTCCTCTTCCATGCGCTCCGTAAGGAAGACGTTGATCTGCTCCTGCAGCTTGGGCACGAGCGACTGCAGCGCTGAGAGGTGGGCTTGCTTAGCTGCCAGTGTGCCGGTTGTGGTTGATATCACATGCTCAAAGGTCTCAGTGGCATGAGGGGCGGTGTAAACTGCAGTCAAGCTCGTGTTGGAGGCCATTTTGAAATTTAACAGGGAATTTGGGGAAATTGTTGGCCCTGGAGGAGGGGGAGATGGCAGAGAATAATGTCCCGAGCTATGCTACCGCCTTTCTTACCGCCTTTCAGCTGATCTAAGCCCGACCTCGGGACTTGGCACTCCTTCCCCAGGGTCTCAGGGTCCCAGTCCTTCAGGTACGGCTGAATACGAAGTTATATATTACTCGAGGTACTTCGTGGACCATACGGTAGCTTTGCCGAGGCTAATATCTGTTGGGTTCTGTTCAGGCAGTAATCCCTAGTCTGTATCCGGCCTGGATACATACTAGTAAGAAAGTTGTGGAAATTGGAAAAAGGAATACAAGTGCAAAGGATGACATCAAGCAGTGAACTGGCCTACAAATATAAATCGCAAGGCTATAAACTCCGTTGAATCTAGATCAAAGCTTAGCCAAGTCTCCGCATCTTTCGTCGATCTGAGATTCTGCCAGATAAAGGTAGAGGAAGGGGTCGGCGACTGCCCAGATGTGGCTTTTGTAACGTTGTAAACAAAAAACTTCCATAACCTGCCTGAAAGAGACAAAGACAGAGAGAGCATGGGATATTCATTATGAATCCTACCTTCCGATCCCCGAACTCGCCTGGGCGTCAAGTACCTCCTGCCCCTCGCTACCCCCGACCTCCATCTGATGACGAAGAGCAAGACGACTCCGATGAAGACGAATTGGTTCACCCCGGATCCTCCGGTAGTGACGCTTCTTCCAATGTAACAACCGTTTCCGCCGCTCCTCTCACGCCGATCAATACTCAACACTCCGGGGGTTACTTTCCCCCACAACCACGATCGGCCACTTCACCTCATCACCCTATGCCAAACCCAACAGCTCGACGGCCCTCCGGCCGGGGTCCCTCCGTCGAGCTACCTCGGCACCGATCACGGCACCACTCACAGGGGTTCTTTGAGCCTTCCCTGCCGACCGCCTCCTCCGACCAGCTCCCTACCTTGTCAGCATCCCGTATCGCCGCCCAGGCAGCAATGCAGCAGACAAAAAGGCAACAAAATGCGATGCCCCCGATAGAGGATGGTTCTCGTCCCAGGCGCAGTGGAAGCGGCTCGCCTCCTCTCATACCCGCTCCATTGCGTGTCAACCAACCCTCCCCGCAACCGCCTCCGCCACTAGGGAATGTGGCCACGGCAGCTGCGAATGTGGTCTTCCCGCGAGCCAGTGCTGCGCCGGTAGAACCACAGCCCGAGAAACAGAAGAAGAAGAAACTCTTCTCAAAACCAAAACATATCGGAATCAGCAGTCATAAAGATGTGAGCAAAGACCGTGGTCTTCCCTCTCCGAGCAAGATCAGTGGGTTATCGCGCATGGTCAGCGGCTCGGCTACGAATTTGACCGACCTGTCCTCGAACAACTCGATCTATAATCTATCCAATGCCTCCGTGAACACTGTGGTCCCCGCAGATCGTCCGCCGCTTCCAGAGAAGGAAAAGGATAAAGACAAGCATAAGCATCATTTCCTATCGAGGCAGAAACTCAAACTAAAAGATCGCGTCGAAGACCACTTCAACCTCCCTCTATCATCGGCTTCGAGTAATTCCCGTCCGGCAGACCCAAATGCCCCACAATCTTTATATTCCTTTACTCCTGCGTCTCCAGCTCCTGGTGCGACATTTGGCAAGTCGGTAAGTGGGTTAGATCTCCTGCATGGTGGTCGAGCACTGCGTGAGAAGAAAAAGGAGGAGAAGGCGCTCGCCGAGTCGGAGCAGATGGAATGGCTGGCCAATAATACTGGCGGTCCTACGCCACCTGGTGGCTTCCCAGGTCCGTCTTCAGTTGGTAGTTCGGGGACATTCCCTGAGTCTATTCTCCGGGAGACCTTGCAAGGGTTTGGGTTGAATAATATGACCCCAGAGGATGCGTGGGACTTCCTTAAGGCGAAGCTGCTGGTCATCTTCGATGGCGAAGACGTGCGCATTGCCATTGAAGATCTCAACAAGCTAGTGCTCGTTCATTTGCAGCGTTGCGTGGTTAAGAGGGCTCCTGCGTCTATTGTAACGGACCTGCAAGAACTCTTGCAGACTGGATTTGCGACTTTGAATCACAGTTCGCTGATTGGCCTCCCAGATGAAAGGTTGATCCCGCATCTGGTCCAGGTGTGGCTGCTGGTGTTTGGCACGATTCTGCCATTCATCCAGGCTGTGTTTCTTCCCTTAGATCTCGAGTTCAAGGGCTGTGGACCCTTGATGACTAGCCGAGAAGCCGGTGAATTCTGGGGTGCACTGCCTTTCGGCGGAACACTCGATGTGCGAAGTCTGGTCTTGATTGCCTTCCGTGACTGCATGATCCTGAATCGCTACGATGCCCTTAAAGCAACCTTCTCCCGGCTCAGCCTGGACTCCATCAACACCGGATTCCCAACACTCAGCGTCACAACTAAGAGTACCGGTACTGGAGGCCGCCCTGGTACTGCAGCCTCGCTCGATGCCGGCTTCGGTAGTTACAACTCGCAGTCATCCACGCTTCTCAGCACCGTCGACAGTTACTCCTCCGACGGCATTAGCGCCATGACCAGCCACCCACGTCCAACGAGCAGTGACTCTCGCAGTCGCGCTGCCTCAAACACATCTTCCAACGCAGATCCCCTCTTCTTCCAGTCCATCGCATCGCCTCCAACCTCTAACAAACGGCCTACCATCATCCACCGCGGCCCCACTGACTCCTCCCACGTCATCACAGAGACCGTCGGCCGCATGCTGCAATGCATCAGCGTCCTTGCCAGTGTGCAAACAGGCGACGCTGCCCAGGAGCGGATCGAGATTCTGAGCAAATCTCTCAAACACAACTGGCTTGGTCGCGGCCGCACAGGCCGTGATCGTCGTGGCTTTGTCGGTGCCAAGATCCGGCCTGTAATGGTCGGCGGTCCTCCTGTTATTGATGATGGAGATTCCCTCACGACGGCTGGCATTAGCATCGGTGCGAGTACTAGTACAGGGGGATCCCGGGGCCGAGGTGACTCGTCCTCGTCAGAATGGAGTTCCAATGTCCCAGGGCCCGCCATGAGTGTGCGTGGTGGTGTTGGACGAGAATTGAGTGTTCTATAGCTTTGTGTGTTTTCTTCTAGCTACTCGTTACGATTGTATGTATGACGGCGGGTGGGTACTTTTGGCAAGGGGCGTTTCTGTTTTATAAAGGAATTGATATCCTCGGGCATTACCCAGCAATTTCATCTACGAATCATATACTAAGCATATGCCAACCGGCAAGTAGCGCCCCGGAGGATGACACTAAGATATAAGAAGGGCCATTGGGCCCTACCAATGGCTGTACCTTTACGATAGGAGATACAGAGGCCAATAAGATCGGAGAATCGATCCTCTACTCCGTAGTCGACCTAGATATAGACTACGATACTATTCTACTCTGTAGGGAATTGTGTGAATCGTACAATTTTTCTTTTTTTTTGGTTTTTTGTAAACTAACTAACTTTTTTTTGGCCTTTTTGTTTTTGGTTTTTTTTTTGGTTTTTTTTTTTTTTTTTTTTTGAATCCAACAGTACTCCGACAAGTCAGTTGTCGATACGTACCCAGGGCTCGGCCAACTAGCCACTGGGTAACATTCACAATTCACCAGAGGGGATGGCGTCTCACCACGCCATCCCCTCAAACAATCAAGAGAGAGGGCTTACTCCCGAGCCCTCCCCTTTCCCTTGACATCGACCTTACCAGCCTCCTTGAGGTCCTGGTAACGGTACTGGCAGTGAGCGGGGAGAACCTCCCAGCCAATCTGCTCCGAAACATGCTGAGCGATGGGCACAAAGTGCCCATCATTCAGCAGCTGCGAGCCAAATTGCTGCAAGGCCTCCAGAATAGCCGCCTATTGAATAGAATAGTTAGCAACCAGATCAACTGAGATTGAGGTCAGAGAAAGGGTGAAGTGAATACTTACGTCGAAACCAGGCCAGGGACCAAGCTTATCCATGATCCGTCCCCAGCGCTTGGTCACTGCCCGCCATGTCATCTCGTCCTCCCATTCAAAGCGATTCGCGTTCCACGCCTCCGCGACCGCGCTCCACTTCACTGCAGGATTCCCCTGCTTCATCTGGGACATCATCTTGTCCCCTTTCGATGCTTCCTCCCATGACGCCGGCGGCTTGTTGCCCCGCCTTTTTGGTTTGGAGGCGGGTTGCTGGGCGCCGGAGGGTTGAGGGGGCTCGGGAACTGCTGTTTCGGTCTGAGAGTTAGTACTAGAAGGAGGATTGGATGATCCTGATGCGTACACAAGCTTTGACTTATTCGCGGGACGGCGACTTGTCGAAGCCGACGTAGAAGGACCAGACTCAGTCTTGGTCTTAGTCTCAGTCTTGTTCCTGATCGAAGTGCGGCGTGTTGCGGTCGACGCAGGTGGGGGCATCTCAATCTCAGGCTTGACCGTGGCCTTGAGCGAGGCGTGGCGTGTTTTGATAGACGCGGGCTGAGGGGTCTCGGTATCAATCTCGGCAGTTGTCTTCGGGGAGACGGTGTGTTGCTGCACCGAAGCGGAGGTTCGGGCTGAGACGGAGGTTGAGGGCACCGGAGTTGAGCTCTTCTTTGTGGTTGCACGGCGTCGGGCACGCTTTGCGGGTCTGTTTGATGTTGGGGATGCTTCCTCCACTGACGGCAAGGTGTCTTCACCAGATTTAGCACGTTTTTCAGACTTAGGTGTATCAGCTTGAGATGGGCCAGGCAGATCGCGGGCCTTGTCAGCCAGCTCGCGGTCCATGGCAGCCCATTTGAGGTCCATGGCAGCTCGTTCGCGGTCCATGTCAGCTAGCTCGCGCTCATTGGCATCCCAAGCCGACATGGCCTCCATGGCAGCCCGTTCGCGGGTCATGAAAGGCGGATTGAGGGCCATGGCAGCCCGTTGGCGGGTTATTTCAGGCAGATGATCGCGGGCCATGTCAGCCATATCGCGGGCCGTGGCAGCCCGTTGGCGGTCCATGCCAGCCAGAACGCGGTCCATGTCAGCCAGAGTGAGGTCTACGGCAGGCAGATCGGGGGCCATGGCAGCCCGTTCGCGGGTCGCTTCAGGCAGATCGCGGGCCATTTCAGCCAGAGAGAGGTCCATGTCAGCCATAATGCGGTCCAGGGCAGCCCGTTCGCGGGCTATGTCAGCCGGCTCGTCGTCAATGGTAGCCCCAGGCAGATCGCGGGCCATGTCAGCTAGCTCGCGCTCATTGGCATCCCAAGCCGCCATGGCCTCCATGGCATCACGTTCGCGGGCCATGTTGCGGTCCATGGCAGCCCGTTCGCGGGCCATGTTGCGGTCCCTGGCAGCCTGTTCGCGGGCCATGTCAGCCAGCTCGCGGTCAATGGCAGACCCAGGCAGATCGCGGTCCATGGCAATCTGTTCGCGGGCCATGTCAACCAGATCGCGGTCAATGGCAGCCCGATCGCGGTCACTGGTAGCCCGATCTGTAGTGTGTAGGAAATCGAAGTCTAGGTTTGCAGTGGCAGACTTCAGATCAGCAAAGAGACTGTCAGTATCTTGATTGTTCAGCTTTTCCAGCTCTTCTTGTATGCGCTCTTGTTGGAGGTGCTCATTGTCCAGGATGTCTTGGTAGATTTCATTCTTATCCTTTTTCCATCTGGGATCTCCACCAGCATCTAAGTTCAGGAGCTCCTGTTCATCCGCGAGAACGCGTTCGTACTGTTCAGTGGATAAGATGCCCATGGGGTCAGTGGTCCAGCTGTTATCGGGAGTCCTTTGGGGGTAAGTGTAGTGGGACGGGAGCACATTTGGATCTTCGAATAGGGCATCATATGCTGGTGGACGTTCGAATCTGTCAACTCCATATTCTACTGGACGGTAAGGCTGATAATCATTCAAGTAAGGATCAAAGAATGGAGCCATGGGATCATCCATGTCAATGGAAGGATCCAAGTAAGGATTTGCATCGTCCCGGGGTGGCGAGGGCACGAAATCAAGGTAGCCAGTGTAGTAGGAAGGATCCTCATAGTTGGTAGGAGGCAACGGCGAATCGGGGATATCATCCAAAGTAAGCTCGATGCCAGTAGGATCGATGCCAGTCGACTCATGAGATGTGCCTTCAGCACCAGACCCAGGAAGATCCATGATGGACTCAAGGATGAAAGGTAATGTGGTAAGTAGGTTTCAGCTGATCAAAGTCAATATTGGATGCTTGGTTTGGTTTGATAGAGGATGAAAGATAATCACTGTTGATGGAGTTGGATGGAACAGTCGAGTGAGTGTCCAAGATGGACTGTCGAGGACTGTGATTGAAAGTGCCTCTTGACTTGACAGAAGGAGAGGCAAGAAGACTCAAGTCCTGAGAGTGTCCTTGTACAATGTCAGAGTCTTGGGAAGCAAAAGAAGAAGTGGAGTGTTGCAAAGGACAAGAAGGAATGGGGTGTTGGAAAAGACAAGAAGGAATGGGGTGTTGGAAAGCACAAGAAGAAGTGGACTCTTGGGAGACCTCACGAGGTCTGTTGTTTTGAAAACGAATCTTACTCTAGAAGTGGCAGTGGGAGTCGCGTCCTGAACGCGTTCCTCTGCACTGGCAGAATCTCACGAGAGATATCGCGAGAAGACACAACTGTCCTCAGTGATGAACTTGGGAGGTCTCTTGATACGAAGCAGATAGAGAGAGGTGTTTTCCTTCGAATTGGACAGGATCAAGGTTGATCAAGTGCAGATTGAGAAGGTTGACAGAGTCAGAGTTGGTGCGAGGAGAAAGATGGATGGTGCGAAAGAGACAATGTAAACAATTAGACGAGGGGGCTAAGCGACGTATTAAGCACAAACTCGACGTATAAAGTGCAAACGGCAGGACTCTGTTTGAGTAATTGGGTCACCTGAGGTGTCTGATTCAATCGATGGTGTGCCTCTTGTTTCCTAGCCAACTAGACTACTAGCACAGGGGAAAGGCATCTTCTAGTTCTGTCCATTGTGTCAATCGTAAGGGAGATGAGGTCGTCTCGAAGTTCAACACCAGAGAACTATCCATGCCATCAGGAGCATTCGATGTAAATGATCAACCAATGGTCACTTTCCTAATTAGGCTTATAGAGGCTCTGATCAGCTCTATAGCTTCTAGCTTCTCTAGAAGTTACTACAGTTACTTTACTGGTAAGCTGTCTAGCAAGTCTCCGTGTCTATCACCGCGTCGAAGGTGTTGGTAGTTGAAGAATAGGGTAAACATTGAATTTATATTCCCCGTCAACCTCTTAGTGTGACGTCCAAGTAGCCTACCTCGACATGCTCGATCTTTATATATATCTCGACTTCATAGTGGATACACTATACCATATTGACCTATCATATTTGATACTTTGATTTGATTGGATCACTTTGCTCTGAAGATCAGATTGATATTCATACCTTGCTAATTAATACTAAGACCATTAACTTAGTGCTTTAGGGTGACACAGGGATATTCACCAAGTCAGTGATGCCTTTGTCTAGAGCCATGCAATAATGTCTCCCATAGCTCTAGGACTGTTCTACTTCTGAGTCATATCTAGTAATGACCCCCATTATATAGCTGTTCGGCCTTGGCGCTTAATATCAACAGCGGATTCGCCAGGATTTAGGGCTAAAGAAAAAGTAAAACAGATTGCAAGACAGTTAGGCCTCCAAACTGGGCAGTTTAGTAATAAGTACACCGTATATTGACAAGAATAGACCGACAGAAATTCGTGGGGTCGACTGATTGGCTTCAGGGCTGCAGGCTGCACAGCCTGCGCAGCCTGCGCATCGTGATGCGTCGTGATGCGTTCCTTTCACATAAAATGCGTCTCACCCACAGCGCCATTCTCTTTCTTCTCTGCATTTTTGTCTTTCTCTTTTCTTCTTCGTTTTTCCATATTTTTGCTATTTAATCCATCTATTTCCCCTTTATATTGTCAAACTTGGGTTAAATCTCCAACTCTCCAACTCTCTATCTCCAACTCCCCGGCTTACGGCCCACAGTTCACAGCTTCCAGCTTCCAGCCTACCGGACTGAGCTGTCATGGATACATCTTCTACCCCGGCTGAGGCCAAAGATGAAGTGGTTCCATCAGAGAATGTGAACGGCTCTGCCCAGTCTACAGAAACCAAAGAAGTCAAAGACGCTGCTGCCGCCCCCGCACCCGAGACAGCCCCTGCGTCCACCCCCAAAGTATGCAAAAACAAAAAACACAAAAAGAAGAACAAGAAAAAGGAGGAGAGTGACAGCTCCTCTGAGTCTTCTTCTTCGTCTGAATCCGACAGCGATGCCGACTCTGAATCCGACTCCACTGAGAGCGACGCCGATACCGAGAAGCGCAAGCGGCATCGACTACGAAAGGCGCGTGCGCGACGCGCGACCAAGGATAAGAAGCGTCGCAAGAAGAAGAAGCAACAACGGTCGCGCAAGGCTGAGGCATCGGATTCGGAATCTGACTCTTCCTCGGAGTCAGACTCGGAGTCTTCTACGGACTCCGATGATGAGATAGATGACAAGGCGTTGCGAAAATTGGTCGCCAAGCTCAAGCTTAGCAAAAAGCGAGCTAAGAAGCTGCGGGAACTGGCTTCTGAAGAGTTGGCCGCGAGCGATTCTGTGGGCGAAACTCGCCGCGAGAAGCGGTCTAAGAAGAAGAAGCCCGCTTCCAAGGTGGCCTACAAGCGTGTAGATCAATGTGGGTTTCTCTTCTTCTTTCTTTGTCTTGCTTGCCTCTCATGCCTGGAATTTTCGTTGCTGACTTGTTACAGTATGGGACAACACCATTTACCAGTACAAGCTCACTGAAACCGTGGATGACCCCGATGCCGACGAGTGGGACCAGTATATCTTCAACATCCGTCGCAAGTTCAACTGGGAGAACAAGTATCTCGAGACTGTCGTCGATATCAAAAGCAAACCCCTCCGCGATGCCCTTTCCAAGATCATGGATGGTGTCAAGGGCGTCAGTCTTGTGCAGGAGCCCGCCGTCGTCGATCCCAACATGCTGTTCCTGTATCTAGAAGAAACAAGGCAGTACATGAAGAGCTTGAAGAAGCAATCGCGCAGCGAGAAGAAGAAGAAAAGCAGAAAAGCTGCCGCCGTCAAAGCTGCCCATCTGAAGGTTCTCGTCAAATACCTCGACACCGACTACGCAGACATCAAGAAGACCCTGTACCCACTGCTCGAGGCCAGCACGATCACCTTCGATCTGCTGTGGGCCCTGTACAAGCCCAACACCATCGCTTACACCCCGACCTACGGCAGCACAGATGAGCCACGTGCTTTCAAAATCGAGTACGCTGTCAAAGAGTCCTCTTTCGTGAAGGGTCAGTGGTACAGTGTCGATGGTCGTTACCTCGAGTACGACGGCAAGGACTACGGCTTCGGCACTATGTCTGCTGAAGTCGACGCCTTCAAAGGCGCCCGCAAGATCACCAGTCTCAGCTGCTATCCACTGAAGTACCACCGCGACGCTGAGGCTCTGCGTGCCCGTCTCGTCGAACGCGGCAAACGCTTCGTCTCCCTCCGTGGCATGAACTACCGCTTCCACAAAGGTATGGCCTTTTACAAGAAAAAGCGCTCGCTCATCATCAAGGTCAATATCAATGGCCGCGTCATGATCGACCCGGCTATCCACCGTCGCATCAACCCTAACTATACCATCTCCACTGTCCGTCCCAAGGATCCGGATCTAATAGATCCTAAAGAACTTGGGGTCAGCGAAGACGAGGGTGATGAGAGCGACGGCTGCTGCTGTGGCGGATCAGACTCAGACTCTGAGCATGGCGGTAACTCTGATGCTCCACGGATGATGTACAAGGTCGTTGAGGATAAAGACGGATGTGCATGTGTCGTTGAGGTCGAAGTCGACGAGAACGGCACTGAGGTCCAGAAGGAGAAGATGGACCGCATTGAAGGTGCCACAGATACCAAAGAGCGCGAGTTCACCGAGGAGGAGCTTCTTATTGCCTCTCCTGTTGTTCTGGGCTTCGCCTTCAGCGAGAAGCTCTGGCTTGAATTCACCATCTCCGGTATCAGCGATATCGAGTGGGATAAGGAAGCCTTCGGCTCGCTTGTCCTCCCGTCGAACCAAAAATCCATCGTCAAGGCCCTCGTCGAATCGCATGCCTTCCACGCCGCGCAGAACATCGACGACGTCATCCAGGGCAAGGGCAAGGGTCTCGTTGCCGTGCTGCATGGTCCGCCCGGCACGGGTAAGACCCTGACGGCAGAGGGCATCGCCGAGCTACTCCGTCGCCCGCTGTATATGGTCAGCGCCGGCGAACTGGGTACTGACCCGCGGACGCTTGAGGCGGAGCTGAACAAGATCCTGGATATCGCGCACTCCTGGGGCGCGGTGCTCCTCCTCGACGAGGCAGATGTTTTCCTCGAAAAGCGCACGATCCACGATATCCATCGCAATGCCCTTGTCAGCATCTTCCTCCGTCTGCTGGAGTACTTCCAGGGCATTCTGTTCTTGACCACCAACCGCGTCGAGACCTTTGACGATGCCTTCCAGTCGCGCATCCATGTCGCCTTGCGCTATGGCGATCTAACTGTCAAGGCGAAGAGGAGTATTTGGAAGATGTTCATAGAGCGGGTCCGCGCTATTGAGGGCGTGCATATTGCTTCTTTCTCCGAAGAGGACTACGACATGCTTTCCAGGCACACGCTGAATGGGCGACAGGTATGTTTTACTGTTCTATTTCTTCTCTCTATACAAATACAAACTAACCAAACTATTCCATCAGATCAAAAACTCCGTCCGCACCGCACAAGCCCTGGCCGTCAACGAGCAAGCGCCTCTCTCCATGGATCATATCAAGAGTGTGCTCGAAGTGGCCGAGACATTCGATCAAGACCTGCGCGGCGGAACGGGATACCTAGACGCCATGCGGAGCTATACTTGATTTGATTTGATTATTTCCGGATATCTTGGGCAATTTGGATGCTTACTATGAATATCGTTCCAGATCTGGTATTCAGCTCGCTAAGTTGCTTTTGCTTTTGTTGCTTTTCGTATCTGCTTGCTGGTTTCGGTTCATCTCGGGTACAGAGTATTCAGTTACGACATCGCTTCTTCTGGCATGGATATGGGGCGAATGAGTTTAGGTAGCTTGAATACAACATCGGTCAAAAATGGGTTTCGGTACAAGTCGGGATCGCAGGATACACCGATTTATAGATTATAATGGATTATCAATCTAGTGAAGAACGTTGTCATACACTTTCATTATTACAAAAACAAAAGTCACGACGGGACATGGCTAGTGGTACATGGAATTTTTCAAGGGTTAGCCTTGACGAAGTCAACACCCTTCTTAATGTTCTTCTTCAAGTCAACCAGGGAGGCATCGAGGAGACCCTGCTCGTACTCGTTGACCTTGCCAACGGGGAGGATCTGCTCAACACCGTTGGGGCCGAGCTCAACGCGGGAAGCGAAGAAGTCAACACCCTGGTCCTTGTACAGAGGGGAGTCGACGAAGGTGGGCTCGATGACACCCTTCTCGCCCTGGGCGGCGCGGAGAAGAGACTCGGCGAAGCGGGCACCGGCCATGGCCATGGAGAGGGTGGCGGAACCGGCACCGTCCTTGGCCTGGACAACCTCGTCACCACCGAACTGGATGCGCTTGACAAGGGCATCGCGGACCTCGCCGGAAATGGAGGGGTGGCTGGACTGCGAAAGCAGGGGGACGATGGTCACACCGGAGTGGCCACCAACGACGGTGACGGCCTCATTGGCGGGGTTGGTCTTCTCGACCTGGGAGATGAAGCGCGAAGAACGGACGACATCAAGGGTGGTGATACCGAACAGACGCTTGGGGTCGTAGACGTTGCGGGCCTTGTAGACCTCGGCAACGATGGGGACGGTGGAGTTGACCTTTTTAATGACGCGTGGTTAGTGGGGCCTCGAATTGTGGAGCGATAATTGCGACTTACGGGGTTGGCAATGACCAGGACCAGGGCCTTGGGGGCGGCCTCAGCGGCGGCCTTGGCGAGGTCGCGGACAATGGAGGCGTTGGTGTTGAAGAGATCATCACGGGTCATGCCGGGCTTGCGGGGAACACCAGCGGGGATGAGAATGATCTCGGATCCCTCGAGGCAGTCCTTGAGACCGGTACCCTCGGGCTTGTAGCCGGTAACAGTGCTGTTGGTGTTGATGTGGCTCAAATCAGCAGCGACACCTAAATAAAGTCAGTAATTGCTTTCGCCGAACGAATTGGGTCACTCATACCGGGAGCACCGCGGATATCGTAGAGAGCGAGCTGGGAAACACGGGGGTTGAGCTTCAGCAGCAGCGAGAGAGGCTGGCCAATACCACCGGCAGCGCCGAGAACGGCGACCTTGGAGGCCTGCGCGAGGAGTTAGCTTTTAATTCTGGGGAAGACAGATGAATAGAAACGCACATTGAAAGCGGAGGCCGAGAAGGCACGCTTCTGGAGGAGGTTGACAGTACGACGAGCAGCAAACATGATGGATGATTGAGGGATGTGGATGTGAGAAGGGAAGAAGTTGAGGGAAGGAGGAGATTCCGGTGAAAGAGATGGGATTGGCTTGGCTCCACAACAGGTTCCGAGCTCCCGATGGCTCGGCTGAGCTCTGCTTCTCTTACTTCGATTAATCTGCTATTTTGGGATTTCCTGGTAGCAATTGTGACGTTCTTGGGTTTATTATTGGCTAGCTGGACTTAAAATCTCTCTAGGATCAAAATAATACCTCATTTCCAGGCTAAAAGGCTTATATCGCATTCTCGGAGCAATGGATGTCAGCTCTGCATGTGGTAATCGCATCATCCTGTCAAGCGAGGTAATTAATTTCATGCGCTTAACGTACGAAGGATTGTTTCCAATTGATATATTTAGTTGAGAGATATATATACATTGAGTCTTAGGGAACTAAAATGCCCTAGAGCCCTAGAGAAGAGACTAGCCTATAGTTAGTTGTATAGTTATGCAATTGAAGGTCCAGCTGTCCGTCCACGGGTGAGTGGTATACTGTCACGACGTCATAGGCCCAGAAGTTCCCGTTTCGCCCAATGCGGAAGTACACTGAAATAATCGATACTTTGTGAACTAGAAGGAATAGAACGAATTACTTTGCTGAATATCAAGCCCTATAGGTATAATTGCATACTCAGAAATAGCTGGTGATGGTCCATAGTTGAAGTTGAACCTGGCGCAACCTAGCATATACAAAGATATATATACATTACAACCCACACTCCTAAACATAACTAACACTTGTCGGCAACAAGGACCTCAATTACAGAGACCAAACGCCGGCGCTGATGAACCCAATACAAGATACAAGACCATATCCTACCCAGGCTAAACCCCGAGAACCTTCGCCAGCTCCCAACTATACCCAGACAGAGACCAAGACTACATAGTGATATAACCCTACCGCAAGAAATGAAGCACTGCCCAGCAGAACAAAAAGAAAATTACCACTCCACCCCAGAAAATCCACTTATCCTGGCGCGCCCGCCGCTCCACCATCCGGATCGTATCACCGCTCACACCAAGCGTGTTCGCAACGCTGTATAGTCGCCGCTGAGTTCCCTTAAGTACTTCCCGCTGCTGTCCTAGATCGGCGAGGACCGCTCTTCCTCTGTCTAGGAAATCATCGAGTTGGTTGTGTGTGTTGGAGAAGAAGGACTGCTCGCGTAGCGCGTGGGTTTCGCGGTCGTAGTCGGCGGGGCCAGCGCCAAAGCCGAGACCGGATGATGAGGGTGCGAAGGCTGAAGTGCTCTGCGGCAGTGAGGACTGCGCATAAGGGTTCTCTGGTGTTGCGGCGTGGTGTGGACGACGGCCTAGGAGTTCATTGTGGTTGGTGACCGATTGCTGGTATGAGGTCAGTATTGGAGTATCCCACGGCAGGATTGATGTATACATACTGCATCTTCGCGTTCTTTGCGGAGTCGATCGAATTGTACCCGATAGTCCGCGAGCTCACTTCGGAAGTTCTTGACGCGGTCGAACGCCTTTTGTTGTTTCTCCGGAATTAGTTCCTTCTTGGAGAGAGCTGAGTAGTCATCGACGGTGCGGGAAAGCGATGCCAAGGAAGCTGCAAGCTGGCCTAGAAGCTCGAAGTCAATACCTATCTTAGGTTGCGAAGAATCGGTGATAGGAGCGCACCTTGTAACGCGGGTGAGGAGGTGGTTGGCGACTGTGAAAACGTGTCCAGATCACGGCGGATCGACGATGATTGCTTTAAAGCAGAGTTGAATAGCGAGTTCTGTTCATGTTAGCTGTGTTAACCTATCGCGAGGAACTGCAATATACATACCATGTTGTCAATGCGCCGTATAGATTGGACTTTTGGATTGCTTCGATAACCGGTAAGTCGTGGAAAGAGGAGTATTAGGACTGCTAGCAGGATAATTAAAAGATGATAAGCTCCCGAGCTCAAACACCAAGGTCATCATCTGATCCCACCGGAGGCCAGATGGTCTTGTTTGGGCCCATTCTGACGTGGTTCACCGCCTTCAGGTACAATACATTGGGATATTTTTAGATGCATAAACCAGGCGATCTTTGAATCACAACGTTCTTGATCGAGGAAGATGTCGCCAAGTTATGATTGACTCTTAATGACTTGACCGACACATAGGGAAGATTGCATTTCATCTCATGTCATCTCAAATTCGAGGATCTCTATTAGCTAAGTTGTTGAGGTTTAAATTGAAGAGGTCTTGCAAAGGTCACCATAACGCCTCGTTCTAGATTTTCATACAGGGGGATAACAAGTCCCAACTGTAGAGAAATAGATACAAATTTGGCAAAAAAAATCGGGTAGAGATCACTGGCTCGACCTCTATCTGAGTACTATCTCGAGTGGCAGAGTCGCAAGTGCCATCACCACCAAACCGATAGCAGCAGAGCGGGTGCTTGGAGGTATTCCGGTACGGATAACGACAAAATCGACAGGGAGTGTTCCAAGGAACATCTGGATCACCCAGAGGGTTAGAGGTGAATGGGTGGCTGGGAGCTAGTGGAGCGGAAGACACCCTGTTGGACAAGGATATGGAGGAGGTAACGGAGGCGGGCTCTGGTGCGCTAGGTAGCGGGCCATAGCGACCCGGTTAGTAGGCAGGGAGTAGCTCGAGACCAGAAAAGCCTAAATCATGGTCGTCGCCACGCTCGGTCAAACGCGAGATCTCGGAAGATAGGACACTATAGGGGGATTGTCGAAGAAACCGGTCTAGCTTAGGGGACACGGCGAGGTGGCATAGCATGCGGAAGGTGGACCAGTTTACAGTTGCGGCTGGGCTGTTGGCGGCCGCGGCCGGAGGGCCATAGGGCATCTCCGATAGAATAGCGAAGGCGAGGTTGTGGATGTCCTAGGTCCAGTGTGGCTAGCGGAGCTCGATAGTTGACACAGACAGCGGGGGATGTCCATTAGGCAAGGCTACTTAGGCGAAGGATTATCGAGAGCGCAAAGAACCCGCTGGCGGTCGAAAGCTTGCCTCGCCGTGCGAGCACCACAAGACCGCCACCCTAACGCTTCAGCTGACGGGCCCATTCACCATCATTCTCTTACCCCTCGACGTCCTGTGATGCCCATACCTTCTCCGCAATCTCTTCCATATCGCTTTCAGTAAGAACAAAATCAGCCTCCCTGCCCTTTTTATCGCGAAGAAAGATGTCGTGGAATGGTAGCGTTAACTGCCCCATAACTCCAGGAGATTTTGGCCCTACGTTCCGTTCAATTTCACTCTTTTGTGCTGGGAACCGAAGGTCTATGCTGCCATCAGACCGTGGGTTTATTGCCCACTGCTCGGTATTTCAACCTCGACCAAGAACGTGGATTGTAATCGACCAAGAACGTGGATTGTAATCGCGGTCTTAACTTGACCGTTAGAGTCTCAGCCAAAATTCGATGGCTGAGGCTTTGACGCGTTTGAGAGCACGCGACTTTGCCGACAAATGTTGGCTACTTGGCGGATCTTCCAGCTGGCGGAAAGTATGGCGTCTAGATCTGCTCTCCTAGTGATTGCCCCACTGCGGACAATTCTTGTGTTGGAAGGCATTATAGGGTTATCTCTAACACCTCTAGCCACCATTGGTGATCAATAGTGTTTACATTTCTTAAGAGGGCTTTTAACTAGGATCACATGGCCGCTTAGTCATCCTACACTGGAACCTTGGAACCCGCTGCACTGGTAGATTCTACGAGTAGCTCAACTTCCAATATCTACAAGTCGTACTTGCTATTTAAGTAGACACTACATTTTGCCATATTTTACAACTGCTAGAACTTGAAAGGAAAATGATATCGTTGTTAAGGTACTGGTACAGTCAATCCGATCCGACTCCTTTCGCCAAATGAGAATGCAAGACCACAGAAGAGCTGGGATGGTATATCAAGACAAAAGCAATTAGGCAACACCAAAAAAGACGAACGCCATACATCTATTTGGGAGGGAACTTGTTCTGCAAGAACCATCTAGACCATAGATTAGCATCATGCCACACCCATCAGTCCGAAAATATATGCGGTACTTACTTGCTGACAAAGTAGTCCACAGTACCAAAGATTCCAACAGCACCGGCAGAGAGACCAACCAGCTCCCAGGAGAGGTTGCCGCGCGCGTGTTGCTTGTAGGCACCGAAGCCGAGGCCTGCACCGACCAGGGTTGCGATAGCAGCATTGGCAATGAAGACAGGGTTGCTGGTGTTTCCACAGAGGCTACTGCTCTTCACCTTGTGGGTCTTAGCCTTCTTCTTTTCCTCGTCCTCGCGCTTCTTCTCATCGGCTTCCCGCTCTATCCGCTCCGCCTGGGTGGTGGTTTGGACGTCTTGCTCAAGGAAGTCGGACTCGACAGTCTGCACATGGGGGCTATCAACGTCGATCAACGAAGCTGTGCTCTCGGATTCATCGTGGTAGACTCCGCCCACCGGGGGAGCACGGCTGGAGTATATGTTAGTTGTGTGTATGGAGAATTGATATCGTAAATAACTCACGCCTGTTATTTGTTAGCACTGTAATTTTTGAATTTTTTGAATTTGGATATATGAGTTTGAATACTTACATCTTCGGGGGACTGCTTGGGGCCCTTGGCGGCTGCGTCGGCGTAAGACATGATGTTGTTCGTGATGGTAGGTAATGGTTCTGTGGAATCCTAGTCAACAACTAAAACACCTCAAGGTCTAGAACGAAAATGTAAACTTACTAGAAAACGTGATGTGGGAAGGGAGGAGTCCGAGGGGGAAAGGAAGGATTTATACCCAGGAAGCTGGGGGGTGATGACATCACGTCATTGACCTGGGCCCACTACCAAGGTTCCGTGGGCTGTTGATCTCATAATAGCTATACACTAGTACTAGTAGTATACAAATGAACCTGAAGATAATTTACGTCCACTCTTCTAATGAATACTTAATTCAAATAATAACTCGATTAGATATTACGGTCATTAGAATCATCTTGACTTGACCTCGGGAGGCCTGAGCCACATACGGAGTACGTTATCAGGCACAACAACTTCACCAAAACGCAAAGATGATGTAGAAGAAGTCGAGAAAATTTTCATTGGGAGAATTTAAAGCTGCTAAAGAGATCAAAAACAAATGGGACCTATGTAATGGTCTAATGAGGGAAGCAAGGTGTTTTAATACAGATTACATATAAGTCAGAACAAGAGAGCTTCGCTGTCTACAGAAGAAGCTCCAGAGGGTTCTCGACGACCTTCTTCAGCTCCTTGATCCATTCACCACCAACGGCGCCGTCAACCACCTTGTGGTCGAAGCTACCGGTCACGACGATCTGGTCGTCCCACTCGGTAACGGTGCCCTCCTCGGTCTCGACGGGGATAGCGACCTTGCGGGTGGTGCCAACAGCCAGGATACCGGCCTGTGGGGGGTTGATGACTGCGGTGAAGCGCTCGACAGCGGGGTTCATGCCCATGTTGGAGATGGTGAAAGTGCCGCCCTGGTACTCCTCGGGCTTGAGCTTGTTCTCGCGGGCACGCTTGCCAAGATCCTTGATCTGCTTGGAGATGCTGGAGAGTCCGAGACCCTGAACGTTCTTGACAACTGGGGTAATCAAACCAGAGGGTGTAGACACAGCGACGCTGATGTCAACGGTGTTGTGCTGACGGATGACGGCCTGGCCGTTCTCCTCGCGCCAGCTGGAGTTAACCTGCGGGACCTTCAGAAGGGCAGCAGCGCATGCCTTGACCAAGAAGTCGTTGACAGAAAGCTTGTACTGACCCTCAGCGGAAGCGTTCAGAGCCTGGCGAAGCTTCAGGAGCTTAGTAACGGAGAGAGTGGTGGAGACGAAGTAGTGAGGGTTCTCGGCCACGGACTGCTTCAGACGGTTGGCAATGGTCTTGCGCATCGAGCTGACGGGGATATCCTCGAAGGAGGCCTCGCTGGAAGCACTAGTGGTGCTGGGCTTGGCCTTCTCAACATCCTCCTTGGTAATGACACCACCACGACCGGTACCCTTAAGGCCCTTGATGGATATGCCCTTCTCGAGGGCCAAGGCCTTAGCGGCAGGGCTGAGAGAGGGCTCACGATCAATGCTGGGCTGAAGCTTCTCATCTGAAGTCTCGGGCTCTAGTGCGGCGGGTGCCTCCTGAGCTGGGGACGGGGCTGAGGGCTCAGCGCTCTTAGGCTCCTCCTTGCGCTGCTCACCGAGGTCAGGCTTGTCACCACCGGCATCGGCTGTGGTAAAAGACTCGAAGGCGGAGATGTCGGCACCCTCCTCAACAAGGACGGCAATAGGCTATAGGGAAGACAGGTTAGATTGATGAAACGATCCTTAGAGAAACTGGGTAATTCCTTACCGAGCCAACAGCCACATCCTTCTCGCCGCTCTCCTTCAGAAGCTTGGCTAGGATACCCTCATCCTGGAACTCAAAATCCATCTGTGCCTTGTCTGTTTCAATCTCTACCAGGACATCACCGGGCTGGAGGACATCTCCGGCCTTCTTCTGCCACACGCCGATGTTTCCAGCGGTCATTGTTGGCGAAAGTGCCGGCATGGTGATGATTGTGTGGGGAGGGAAAGCTATAGACAGACATATTAGAATTGGTGTGTTGGAGAAAGAGATAAGTCAATTGTCATACACTTGGAGGCATAGAAGCGGGAAAGGCCAGAGAGCGCAGGCACTTGGGTCCTGGTGGAAACATCATTAGTATCAACCCACAATCATAATTATATTAGTGGGACATACCGAATCGCCTCCTGGAGCTTGGAGGAGACCTGGGGCCGGCGCATAGCAACGGCACCTCTGGACATGAACATGGCGCCCGGGGTGCGCATCCGAATAGCTGACGCAACCATGGTGCCTGAGACTTGTTGCGATTATAAAAAGAAAGGATTAGAGGCCCTTGACGCTGATATGAAGAAATTGAAAGAGCCCGATACAGAGAAACGTGAAGGGCCAAGAATGGATGAGGTTGGGGTAGAAGGAGATGCCTCTAAATCACGAACTTTTCTGTTGAGCTACCTATGGCTCCCGGTGAGAGGAGCGGCAGCGGCCTCTTCCGATATAGTCACGTGCTGTAATTTACAGTCTCAAGCTCTGGCTATGTACATAATATTCTGCCAGCAATATAACTCTACGCCAGTGGTAATTGAGAAAGAACATGCGGTATACCGCTCTTAGAAGGCGGTACAAACAAGGGTCAACACTTTTGCTGAGTCACCGTATTGGTTATCCACGGATTGTTTTTTTGGGGGCCAATGCCTTTCCTACCGCATTAGGTATACACCTATGTTGTAAGAAGAATGTTGGAAAACATTCAAAAGCATGTGAGATCATGGACTTACTTAGCTGGAGGTAGTTCTTGTGATAATTATTATTTTTACTAGCAACATAGATGTACTATCGTACAGGGTACATGCCTATGTAGTACTTAGTTACATACATATAGTGTTTACCCCGTACTCCGTACAGAACCAGACGATCAACATTCTGCCAGGCAAAAAAGGCCGGTGAGGACCTTTGGAATCTCCGGCTCCAGCCAATCCTTAGCTGAGGTAAGCATGCATTAGTCCCGATTCGGAGAAGACACGCAGCCCCCGTCCTTACATGGTCATCGCAATTGTTTCAAGCTTCCCCACGTTTACTCGTTCGATGTTTTTGATCTAATTAGATCACTCCGCCCGGAGTCACCCTGACTATGGCGGACACCGAAGTCGGCTCAGAGCCGACCCAATCCATTGCAATGCCTGAGAAATCCGTCGAGACCCCCGACACATCTCCTACAGTACCAAACTCCGACGAGCCAACACTGCCCGAGCAGACCGAATCGGAGGAAACAAACCAGGAGAGCGACGAGGAAGTAGCCAAGG